CTCAGACCCCTATCAGAGATCTGGTGAAAATGGCCTTTAAGGTTTCTTTGTCATCACTAAAAACAGGTTATTAAGAATTGTCTCTTACAGGCTTTTTAGGATATTTGCTCCTGTCCTCCCCTCTGCTCTACTTGTTCTACTGCTCAAGTTTTCCTTGCTAGGGAAAATCCCAAACCCCTTTTCCACTATTCTTTTATATCTCCCTCCCTCCCTCCTTCTCAGATCCACCAGAGCTGCTCTCAGCCCCGCCTTCCCCCTTCCTACCCAGGCCCACAGAAAAGTCTTAACTGACCTTCTCCAGCAATATTCACCATGGCTGGTTTTAGGACTGTCAGCAAAAGAGTCTCTACAAATAGTTCAATGTAGATAAACTTCCTCTTTTCTTGTTGCCCTGTTTTACTTGGCCCCTGGCTGGAAAAAAATTAGCACTCCAGGTAAGGGACACCCCCTTACTAGTTTTTCACAAAAGTATGTAAACAAGGCCTCTGGCCTTGAGCAGGGGATTCACAGAGATGGCTACATTTCTAAGATAGAGAAGTTACCAACTGGGCTCCATGGTACAGCTGGCAGAGAGAGGAAAGAAAGAGAAGAAAAAGCTCTCCTCAGGTGTCTTTGAAGGGTTAACTTGCCCAGAACAACAACAAAAAACTTTTGCGCCTCTCCCCTTATATGCTGGATATAAAATTCTGAAACTACCTGAACTTGAGGTTCAGGGGATTGATTGATTACAGCAGAAGCTGTGCCCTCTGAACCTGGCTGCAAACAAATAAAACTGTTTCCCTATCTTCACTGCCCTGTCTGTCCCTACAACAGTATGATTCTATATACTTAAATACGGTATATGTTTTCATGAAATGGTAAACAAATGTGATTGTATACTGAAAACAACAAAATATCTCTTATTAAAATTTGCCTAAATTCAGAAATTTACAAGGATTGTTTCAAAGTATGAATAAAGAAAGAATTAACAGATGGGAAAGAAAAATTAGAAGGTTCTAAGTATGGATTTAATAGAAGGAAAAGTTGTTTCTGGATAAGGGACTCTATGTGATTAAGTAAATAAGAGGGTTTAAAGAAGGTGTGTAAGTTGGTTATATATGTGAGTTTTGAGCAAGTAATCTTGAAGGAATTAAGGATTATACAACTATGGTTAACAACTGTTATTTTGCAATATTGTAATGTTATTTAAGAGCTAAACTTGATTAATATAAAAACATCAATATAATTGTGGTACTATTACTCTTCTTTATATATTAAATGTGTTCATATTTTCCAGGTATATAAGTAATTAAGATAGAAGCTTTAAAAAAAAAAAACACATCAAGCTGCTGTTCTCCAAACTAAAGTTGCATGGTAATTTTAGGCTTATAACATTGGAGATTTATTTATATCATTTAATGTTCTATAACTGGACCTGTTATCAATAATATTCTATACACTGGGGTATAATTTAAATGTAATATATTGTGTTAGCTAGTATTCATGTGACCTCAAACAACAATATGTAAACTTTATAAAATATTTAAAAACAAAGATCAGCTTCAATACTAGAACACTACCTAAGATTTATTAAGAGCCCTGCCTTACCTGAGATAAGGCTCTGCCTCCCATCTTACTACATATCAGAATGACTCTAAAGTAGGCCAGACTTCAGCTAAAGCACAGTACTCTTAAATTAAGACTGGTGAGACTGACTTGTTAGATGTTTAATATCAAGACTTAAAAGGGCCAAGAAAACCAATATTTGGCTCTTGCCCTCTGAGTCAGTCTGAATCCAGGGAACAGGGACTTCTCTACAGAGCTTTGCAACTCTGGGACACATAACCTCCTGATCAGGGACATTAATGAGACCATTGGAGAATAAAAAGCCAATAAGCGCACTTGCTGTGAATAGGAGGGTCATTGGAAAAAGGAGACATCCCTGATGCTTCCAAGGGAAGCCACATGAAGCAAGGCTGGACCCCATCCTAGCGCAAATGGCACTAGCAGAACTAAGAAGCTGCTCTTGAATGACCCCTAACAATAGATAGAAACAAAGTCAATTTTGACCAGCTTGATCTTTAACATCTACCACACCCTGTTAAACCAAAACAGTCATTCCTGGAGGTAATGAAGGACAAGAACAGCGAGAAAGAGGAGACAGCAATTAGGTCAACAGTCTCCATGGGGAATGTTTAGTCAAGTATGACCCCTATTAGTCCTGTATCTGTTAAATTGATTACAGAAATTCCTGCAAGATCAGATTCACCAACCAGTCAGTCAATCAACTACTTCAAGACTACCAGTTCCTGATGCCCAAGATGGAGACCTATGACTCATGACCAACTCCTCCAGAGACTCTGCCCCCATCTAAAACCCTCTCTAACCCCTTTTCCAGTTTTTACAACCTCTCTTTCATTTCCTAGGAATGAGAACTACTCTCCAGAAGGTCCGCTCTGCTCGTTCTGACTGCTCTACTGTATCCCCACAAGAGACCATCAAACCTAAACTCCCCATGCATCAGATGAGGAGCCACCAGCCAGGCGAAGATTGATTGGATAGATACCTTCCCTACATCCAGGGAAATTGCTGACACTGTCACCTCCATCCTCAATGAGCAGATCATTCCTAGGTTCAGACTTCCCACCTCTACTTCTCAGGTTGTTCAACTAGTCTCTAAAGGTTTAACATCACTTGGAGGCTCCATATCCCCCATTGACCCCAATCATCAGGTAAGGTTGAGAGGCCTAATGGCATTCTCAAGGATCATCTCACTAAACTTGCTATTGAACTCAGGCTGTCCTAGCCCAATCTCCTGCCATTGTCCCTCACCTGAAGTCAGGCAGCCCCAAGAGCCCCCTCAGGCCTTAGCCCCTTTGAGCAACTCTATGGGTGCCCTTTCTTAACCAACCAAAGCTTTCCAATCACTCCTCCTCCCCTTGTGTCCTACCTCACACTTCTACACAAATTCCTAAGAGAACATGCAGACAGGTGCCTTCCTACACCATCCATTGCCTCAATCCCGGCACAACAAGGAACTGAATCGGACCCTCTTCAACTAGGTGATGCAGTCTAACTTTAGGAACTGCATTCTCAATCACTAGAACCTCACTGGACGGGACCCCATACACTCATACTTACTACCCCACTGGTGACCAAGCTTTTAAACACTCTCCCTGGTACCACGTCTCCCGCCTTAAAAAGTCATCTGTTCCAAATTGTCAGTCCTGGACTTCCACCATGCCTACCAAACTCAAAATTTCTTGCCAACCCTTTTCTTGTACTAATCATTATTCTTATCTCAAACCACAGATGGCGCTTCTACATCCAAGCAATATGGCACCACCCACTCTCAAGGCGCTTGCCCTTCCACTGGCTGTAATTGGGCTGTCATCCTTAACATTACTGGATTCTACCAAGCCACCTCCGATCCTTCCTAGAGTCCCTACGACAGGACCAATGGCTGATACCAAAGATCTCCTCCACTCAGAAATGGTTTGATGCCATTGACAACCTATGGCTTCAAGGAAACTTTATGGACTTTGCCCCTTCTGAGATAACTGTCTATAGCCCCTGGATGTTATTTCTGGCTGCCCTGGTAGGTCCCATACCGCCCCCACATCACTTAGAAAAACAAAAAGGGATGAATGTTAGCTGCAGGATAACCCATCCACTCAAACACCCCAGTCTGGTCCTTTATCACCTGTTTCCCTCAAGGCTGAACACTTGACCCCCACCCATCTGGTGCAACAGAAACCCACATCTGACCCCTGCCCCTGAAGGCAGAAGATGACACTACTGTCTGATCCAATCAGATTTTGGCTATAAAAACTCCCTCTTGCCCTCCCTCTCTCTTTTGAATTGCTGCAATAAAGAGATCTTGGTCACTCTCCTTTCACTCATGTGTCCCCCCCTTATAGTTTCTCCTCCCTTCCACAACCAAAATGTTCTTTTGAACATATTGAGCAGTGATGAATTTTTTTCTGCAATTAGATAGTGGTGAGGGTTCTACAGCTCTGTGAATGTATCAAAACTCATGGAATCATACACTTAGGAAGGGTGAACGTTGTGATATGTGAATTATGTGTCAAGGAAAAAACTGAGTCAAATGTCTGTCTAGCATCTACCTATTCTTTTTTAAAAAATCAAATCCAAGACATCTTAAAATAAGATCAGTTGATCTCTGCTTTCACTGTAGCCTTACCTGGAATTGGCTTCTTTAGATCTTCTCTGCCTCAAAGTCTGGTCTTTTTCAGCAAAACCCTTCATCAGTATTTCCACACCATCTACCCGAGCTTAAGCTAAAACCAAAACCCTCTACATAGTGTTCTTGATTCCTCTTCCCTCCCTATTCAAGAAGTAGGATGGCAGGGTGAGAAGTATGCCTATCTACTGTCACCATTATATCCTGTCCTTTAGTCTACACTGTGATAAATATAGTATTCTTTCTTGGGTAGAAACCTTTATGGCTCTCCATTGTACCCATCCCAAAGACAAAACAAGGCAACCTACATTATCAGAGACTACCTGGGGGAGCCCTAACCACCTCCTTCAGGCTCATTTTTCTGATAGTGTGTTCACCTTTCAAGGTGAACAGGCTTTTGTCCATGAGGTCATGATAGTCAAGACTTAGGGTAGGGTCACTTTTTCACCTTTCTTACCTGGCTAGTGCCCCCCCACCATTATGTGCTCCTAGGGACCCAGCACCATCCTTTGCATAAGTGCACATTCATTTCCTTGTTCACCACCCAGCTTTACCAGATGGTTACCCATGAGAGCAGGGTCAGGCTGGTTTTGATCACTTTATCTCTACATCCATTCTGTGTTAAGTTTTCAGTCTATATGGATTAATTCTAGCCTGTGTGCACTCTTATTTAAATCCTGTGGCTCCTACAGCCTGTAGCATTTTACCAAAACATGTCACTATGTACTGCCTTTTATTCTTCCGCATTGCAAACCTTTCCAAAGGCTGACTTCAGAGGGACTGCTCTAAGGATCTATGCATGGGTGATGTTCTGTACCTGGTAAGTCTCGATGGGGCGGTTTTCCATGTTGAGATCCCAGACTTTCACAGTCAGATAGTCCCTGGTCATGATATACCTCCCACTGTGGCTGAACTTGACGTCCGAAATTGAAGAGATAATTTCAGAGAAAAACGATCTGTTGCTTGGATCCTCTGGCTCTTCAAAAACTGCAAAAACAAAGCAAACACAATGAATTCAGCATCCTTATCACTGAACTCTAAAGCATCTGGCCAACCAGAAAGTTACCAGTTAAGAGTCTAGGACTGGTGTCTGCAGAGCACAAGTAAGTTGCTAACAGGGAGCTGGCAGCTCCTTGGCTGCAGAAAAAGCTGTGGCTGGTTTGTTTTCTCTTGGAAGGATTGGCATGGGACCCGTCTCCTGCACAGACCTGGCACTGACTGTTCTCAAGCTCCAGTATCTGACTCTTTCCCATTTGGTCTCTGGGGGTCACTGCACATACCCAAACCTGGAATCATCTTAGATGCTTAAACATTTGTTAACAGCTTTACTGAGATGAAATTCATATACCATAAAATAAATGCATTTAAAATATACAGTGAGGTTTTTTTTGTTGTTGTTGATTTGAGATGGGGTCTTGCTATGTTGTCCAGGTAGGACTCAAAGATCCTCCTAAGAGCCACCATGCCTGGCTAATCCAGGGGGTGTTAGAATCATTATATATTAATGTAACCATCACCACAGTCTGAATTTAGAAAGTCTTCATCACCCCTGATGCCCCCCAATTATCCTCCATCTCCATTACCAGTTACTCCACATTTCCCATTCATTTAGCCCTTAAGCAAACATGAACTTACTTTCTAGTTATTACTCTGAAAATTCCACATAAATAGGATCACAGAATATGTGGTCATTTGTGCCTGGCTTTTTTCACTCCTTGTAATATTTTCATGTCATAGCATATATCTGTACTTTATTCTTTTTTTTTTTAGTATTGTTTTGGTTGTAGTTGGACACAATACCTTTATTCCATTCATTTAGTTTTATGTGGTGCTGAGGATCGAACCCAGTGCCCTGCGTGTGCTAGGCGAGCACTCTACTGCTGAGCCATAATCCCAGCCCCTGTACTTCATTCTTTATATGGCTGGGTTGTATTCCATTGCTTGGTTCTACCATATTTTATTTATTCTTTCATCAGTTGATAAACATTTGGGTTGTTTCCACTTTTTAGCTGTTCTGAATAATGATGTATGCAGAATACTTTTGGACATATTTTTATGTGGACTTATTTTAATAGCGGGGCTTTGCTGCCTGATTGCCTTGGGCCAAGGTCAGATTGCCATTTACTTGTGTGACCTTGGGCCAGGTCCTTCTCTGAGTATACTTCTATGTAAACTGTGGCTATGCTATCTTCTGTGTGATTTCCAGGATCTTGCTTTTCTTACTAGCTTCAGGTGCTTTCTACTTACAGGATAACGAGTGTGGCTCTATCATGGTGTGGAAGCCTCTCCCAAACTGTACCTGTCTTTTTTTTTTTTTTTTTAACAACTTGGATTGAGACTGGCTGTACAGAATGTATCTTGACATTTCTATGCATTGCCTGATTATTTCATTGATCCAAGTTCTACTTGATTTATACACCTAGTCTACTACATAGATTTCACTCTAAATGATGTTTTCTCTGAAGCCCTATCATACTTGATTTGGTCATCTATTTAGTATTTTCTCCTGTTCTTTCTTACGATAAAATTATCATGTTTCACATTATTTAACAACTCATGAATTTGTTTTTATTTCTTTACTAGGATGTGAGTCTTGGGCAGGATTTTGATTTCATTTATCTTTGTACCCAGAGTCTTACAAACAATGTTCAATGAACATTTGTTGCTTGATTGGAACCAAACCAAATAAATTAATGAAATCTCTGTCTTCTGGGTACTTAGCATGTATTAGATTTAAACATATAAATTTGCTGGTATTCAATTACTTTTGACCTGCAAAATGGCCCTTACATATGGTTCAACCTAATAAGGGTTTATAACACAATTGTATGCTGAACTGAACACTGGTCAGCGGGTGGCTGGGTTAACTTGGCCTCCAAGGCTTCCTCTTTCCTGCCTGCTCAGTGCACTTTCATAGTCAGTCATCAATTCCTTGAAGAAAGTCCAAGTGTATATAAGTTCCCTTCCAAGCCTTGCTATTAATTTTCACTTTAAGAGAAGAAAGCAACAAACCTGATAATCAGAATTGAACTTGAGAATTAAAAACAAAGCACAACACCACTGAAATAGAAACGCAGGTCTTATTAGAGTCTCCAACCAAGTGTCTCCATCAGTGCCCTTATCTCTTAGGCTTTAGTCAAAGATAAGTGAAGGCCCCTGGCTTCTGCTGATATCTCATTCTCAACTATAGGGATAAAAGAATTTTTATCTTAGTTTCAACTCACAGCAATCTCATTAGTAAGTGGGGACTTAATAATCCAAGTAAAACATTAGGAAACGTGAGGCTTGGCAAACGGTGCTCAAGAGTCGGTCAGTTCCAGCTCTTGCCATTTACTGGCTGTGGACATTTACCCTCTTAGCTTCAGTTTTTCCAGCTGCAAAATGGGAGACTGATGTTGGCACACAGCAGGCCCTCAATAAATAAATGCCCGTCACTACTTTCATCGTGAATGTATACTGCTAGTGTTGGCCAATCAGATTCCATTCTTCAAGACTCTTGAGAATTTGGCACTGAGAAGTACAGAGAGAGTCTGAGGGCTATTCAAACGATGGAAATAATACTTACCAAGAGATCCTTATAGTGTTTTTGTTTTTAGTTCAAATTTGCTTTTCAAATTGACAAAATTTTATAAATATATGAAAAATACATGTGTATAAAATTGATATGGGGGCTGGGGTTGTGGCTCAGTGGTAAAGTGCTTGCCTAGCATGTGTAAGGCACTGGGTTTGATTATCAGCACCACATATAAATAAGTAAATAAAATAAAGGATCCATCAACTAAAAAAAAGTTTAAAAAACTGATAGATATATCCTATCTCTTTTCAATTTTCTACCTAAGAATCTGTTTTCCAAATACCTGGAACATCAGGAAGGGTCAGTGCAGCAACATTGTGACGCCTGTAAATGATACCTCACAAGATGGTGGTGAAATGGAAGGAGACAACTTTGGCCAATCAACCAATATCTGTGGTATGCCTGCTTGAAGTTTGGCAGTGGGCAGGAATCGGGTAACATCCCTGCATGGTACTCTGCAGTTCATGATATATGTACACATACTCGAATCTTTTTTTTTTTTTTAATTTTTGTTTTAGTTGTCCATGGACCTTTATTTATATGTGGTGCTGAGAATTGAACCCAGTGCCTCACACATCCTAGGCAAGTGCTCTACCACTGAGCCACAACCCTAGCCCCATACTCAAGTTTTAATGTCAACTCCATGCATTCATTCAGCAACAGCACTTCAATGTTAGTAATTAGTGTAAATGGGAAGCATATAGTATTCAAGGCTCCATGATTTACATGTTTCATCTCAAATCTTGCAACAACCTCTGAAGTGAGAACAATGAAGGCATAGAGGTTTTGTGTCCTGTCCAGGGACACTCAGCTAGATTGAGGTAGAGCTGGGTTTTGAACTCAGGTCTGACTGACTTCAGTCTTTATTCTTAATCATGATGCCATTGGGCCCATACCAGGTATAAGACCATGCTGAGGGATCATTTACCAGTTTAAGGTGTTGCCTACACAATACATCAAGAACGTACAAATAAAAGATTCGCGGGGTGAATGCATGCCAGGCTATATATAAAATACTAAGGACACAGTAATGAACCAGACACATCAAGTCCTACCCTTAGGGAGCTCACAAACATTAGAAATCACCCAAATTTAGCTACAGTTGGAAATAAGTGAAATTTGTGTTTCCAGAGGGGAATAAAGGTGCTGGGGAGCCGTCTAGTGGGTGTAAATAGAACATTTGTGTGTGTTCCATGAAATTTACTTCTCATGCCCACTCCAGTGTCTGAGATTCTGGAAATCTGTCGAACATGTGGTGCAATGACATCTCGTGGCTCAGTGATAGAACCTGAGACAAATCAGTGGGCACTGCTGAAGACCCCCGGCATTAGAGATCCTGCTGCCTTATGGCATTTCCAACTGGCTTCCAGAAGATGAAGACATGTAAGAAGAAAGCAATTGTGGGGGAGACAGGACAAACTTTTACTTTCTTTGTAAAAGGAAATGGTCTTGATGAGAACCTGATAGCTCAGACCTAGTCAATGCCAATATGTCAGGTTGTCCAACAGGGGGGACAGATCTGAGATGTTAATGACAGTAACAAGGACTGCTGCTACTATTTCTTGCCAATAAGTTTTTGCCTCTGCCCACCTGCCTATCACATTGCGTCCACGACTACGCCTTGGTTGATACACCTTTCTACTCAAATAGTCAAACTGGAATCCCTTGGGTCCTACATGCACTTTGGGCATCCCCACTTTTATGCCACTACTTGGCTGCACCTTTGCCCATCCTGGGATACTCAAAAGAACATCAGATTGGGTCAGGGATGCTGATTCAGGATAGGCACAAATCAGCTGGCTCTTAATACCTACCATTCATTGTGGCCAATGGTATCAGTTTGTTCAACACTGGTAGGTATTATTTCTCTTTTTTTTTTGAATTGGTCTAATCAGCCAACTCAGCTGGTCGGTACAGAGCCAGGATTTGAACTCCTTCTGCTTCTGTTACAGTTAAAGCCTCGTCCCAGGGTTTCATAAACTGACTTCCAGACCACTCACGTATAATCGAATCAAGCATTATTGAAGCACACTAGAGGCGACTGACCAGAACATAAAGCTGTTCCCCTGATCAGCCCCAAACAATTGCAAGGGCGCTCCTTATAAGCCTGAAAACTGCAAAAGGGATGTTCGGGGTCTAGCCAATGCTAGCAAGCTAGGTTACAGGTTTGTTCAATACTGGTAGGTATTATTTCTCTCTTTTTACAGAAGCGGGAGAGTGCAGTCAAGTGGCGGGAAGCCTAACCAATCACAGTTAGCCCAGTCACCCAGTTACAGAAACAGAGCCCCGTTACCCTAGTTACAGAAATAATGTCCCAATAGGTAGTTCTGTGTTCTTAAAGGTTTCTATAGCAAAAGGAAAAGAACATCTTGCCCCAGTCATGACCCTTCTACTTGGCATAGCTGTTTTACAG